CTCACCCCTCCCCCCCCCCCTCTTCTGCTGACCGTACCGGGTGAACGAACGACTCGGAAGGCGCGATCTTTCGAGGCCAAGCTGCTCAACCAGGACCGAATGACGCCGGAGCTCTACATGTACAAGAACCGGGAGGGCGGGCTGGTTATCCTCTACTCGAACGACGATGCCGATGCTGGCCACGTGAGAAATGGAAGAGGGAGAGGGCTGCGGCGGCGGGGGCGGGCGGAGGAGAGGGCGGGGGCAAGGGTTGAAACCCTCAATACCCCGCTCTCCCCTTCAGCGCCTGCTGCCTTGGCAAGACAGTCAACGTGATGCTTTGATTTACGTTGTCATGGCTTTGTTTTTTCATTTTTGGACCCTGTTTCCTGTCTTTTCTCTTTTGAACCCTGTTTCCTGTCTCTCTCTCTTTGTGCCTCTCTCCCCGCAATTCCTCGCCATAACCCCTTATTCACTCCCCCCCCCCCGACGCCGCTTCGCATCCAATAACGTCCGTCAGGCCGCGAGGACCTTGATTCACAGGGGGTTCGACAACATCTTCGTGCTCTCCGGCGGTCTGGTCGCCTTCGCGAGAGAGGGTTTCCAAAGCTTCGTGGAGGGGGACGTCGAGGCCTTGCCGCCGCCACCGCCGGCACCCGCGTCCGGGGGCGGTACCTTGCGCATTGGCGGCGGGGGGGGCTTGAGAGTTATATCGGACGGGGTAGGCAGCAGCAGCAGCGGCGGCGGCGGCGGCGGCGGCGGCGCCTGTTAGCAGGTTTAGCGGGGCGAGGGGAGGCAGTGAATGCAACGACGGCCGCAGCGGCGGCGGGGGGAGGCTGGAGTACAGATACCGGGGGGGGCAGAGAGTGGTAGTCAGGGGCGGCGGCGGCGATGACAACAACAGCACCACCAGCACCACCAGGAACTCCGCCTTGGGCGGGGGCGGCGGCGTGCCGACGATTTCGTCGACAAGGGGGCAGCAGCACGGCATCGGCCCGAGAGCAGGGGGGAGAGGGCTAAGGGGATACCCCGATGGCCACGGTGGCGGGAACGGAGGGGGGCAGCAAGTCGGGCTCCGGGGGGGGGGGTTGGCTGACGCCGCCGCTGCTGCCTCTGCGGCTAGGCGGCGCAGCATGCAGGGGGCTCGCGGAGGAGGGGCGGGGGGAGGGGACATGTCGAAGGGCAGCGCAATCACGGTGGCGGATTCCGTGATTTCGAGGTCGACCGCCAGACGCGGAAGGTGGTGACGGCAGCTAGTTATGCCGGTGGTGGTAAAAGGATGGATGCGGATGGACGGGGGAATGTTGACGCTTCACCTCTACCCCCTAACGCCACCCTGGAATTCTGATAGTGCGTGTGTCGTGTTTTTTTTTCTTTTCGTGGCCGTCGTGTATGCGAATATATATGCTCTTCTTGTGCGACTACGGTGGAGATCCTGCAGTATTTATGCCGTTTTGGTAGCGTTTTTCGTGCTGCTAGTACTGCTGCTGCGTTGATATTCGGGGAGCTGCTGCTGCCTGCCTGCGTTTGGTGCTTGAACCCGCGAGGGTGCGACCAATTGCCAACTTGAAAAGGGCTGTTTGGTTCCTAATCGTAAGCGTTGTTTTGAGGGGGGACGGCGGATGGGACGACAAGGACGGGGCTCACAGGGAGAGCTGTGCTGGTTGTAAGAGCGGTGTATGAGCGGTGTGGAGGGGGGGCAGTAAGAGGCCGGACGGCCGTGTTTCCAGCTTCCGGTCTTCCATCGTCCACTGCTGATTTTTTGCAGGCCCGTCTTTCCCTTTGTACTACATACTTTGTCATGCTGCCTGACCCGACCCCAGCTGATAGCTTGCCGTGCCCGTGGTGCGTTGTGTTGGGTCTCGGTCCATCGAATTGGTTAGTGGTGGCCTAGGATTATTTTATTGTTTCGTTTCTCTTCTTTCTGCGGTGTGATGCGTTTTTTTTGCTGTTGACCCACCACTGGTGAAGTGGAGTGGAACGGGTGTCCTGTCCTCCTTAATTACCGTTCCTCTCGTCACTCGCCCATCAAGTTTTCCTGTTGCATCGATCTGTTTGCAGCAGTGGCACATAGAGAGAGAGAGAGAGAGAGAGAGAGAGAGAGAGAGAGAGGGTACAAAAGAGACAGCGCCCGGACGTCCTTGCCTTGAGCAAGTGTTTTGCACACCCAACACCCATTCGTATAGCAAAACACCCATTCGTATGGGTATTTACAGACGAAAGAGCTTCGCGAAGGAAGGAAGCGAGAAGACACCCACGCTTGTGATGGAAACACGTCTCACGTGATACGAAAACCTTCACGCGGGGTCCAGCTTGCAAAGTTGTTGGTGTCGTTGCTTTGTTGGCCCCATCTAAATAGCAGCAACAAGCTAGCAAGCGTTTCTTGGGTCAGTTGCCAAAAAGGGACAGCTAACAAAAGATTGCACGAGCAGTAAACGGACTTGAAAGGGGCGCTTCGAGGTCTCCGCTAACAAATGGGCATCGAACCCTTGTTGGGCACCGAGTCGCCAAAATAGTGCATGAGAGTGGACATAAGATAACGTTACAGTACTACCCCCCCCCCGCCCGCCGTTACCGCCGTCGCAACCAAAAACCCGAAAAGTGCAATTTTGCGGGCAGCACAGGATGAAACAAACGTGAAAAAAAAAAAAAAACGGTTGCAGCAGCACACAACACCAAAACACGCAGGGAGCCTTCCTGCTCCGAGAGAAGACTACTAATCCTATGTAAAAAAATGCCAAAGATTAAAAGGGTACTGAAGAAGAAGAGCTCATTTGATGTCTACCGAAAGACAATTCTGAATAGTTCATCAAGGACATGGAAAAAAGAGTTTTGATGTTCAATCCTACCGACATGTGCGAGAAAAAGGCAGCACCACGGCTATATATACTGCACGAAGAGAGCGTATATACGGTGTGCGCATTTTTCGACCTGCACAAATACAACAAGATCATGTATGTACAACTCAAGACACTCAAGACACGGCAGCTAGAACTGGACTGGTTTGGCGATGCTCGCCCTCCACCAACGCACAAAACACGCCCGCTGCGCCACCCCGCACGGCGAGCGTCGAAAAGAAACCGAAAATTCCTACCAAGTATTTCAAGCTGGCCCCCCGTCCAAGGAAGATACACGGAGGTGAAGGGGTTGCATAGTTTGAACGATAACAAACGCTCTCGCCCTTCCACCCTACCCAACGAACAACAACGCATGATTACTCGACATAGATAACACACACACAGAAAATCAGCAACAACCACACCCTCCCCACCCGCACACCTCCTATTGTTCTATCTCTCACCACGGTGCGCGACAAACTAGATGCCTAGGGTACTGCCACGGCAGACGGGGGTTGTGCTACATAGACAGCTTCACTGGCAATAACGCTAACGGTTCTAGCGGCAGTCCTAAGGGTACTACCAACGGCAGTCCTAAGGGTACTACCACCAGCGGCAGTCCTAAGCTGCTGTTTACGCGACGAAGGAAGAGCCGTACGGCACGAGTCTGGCGACACGATCCACGCTGGGGCCAGGTGCTGCACCCAGAAACAAGTCACCGCTATTGAGGAGGAAAGGGGTGTGTGGCGGAATAGCGGCACGTCCTAAGTGACTACATGTGCGAATGTTTGCCGCCCGCCTCCCCCCCCCCGGTAGAGAACGCTTGAGTAGCGGTACACCCAACACATACATGTGGGAGGACCACCGGAAGTTCAAACGCCCCCGGTCGGGCGATGTGAACATACACGTACGTGTAAAAACAATCCGAAACAAGCACGACGTTTTCGTCTGTTGTTTCTCCACGTCAAACGTGAGACCGCCTACTTCGATATGTATGATACCACAACGTTTTTAGCCTGCCTGCGGAGATGCCACACCCACCAAACTAAGGAACCCCCCCCCCTCCACCCCCGCCCCGATCATCCTGTTAGGCGACCAAGCGCACTGACTTAGACCGACGCTTGTATAGAGGAGCGTCCCACGCGGCCTGACTATTTCTCTCTTCCAGCTAAAATAGCTACAGTCCCGAACTCAAGCGATCTACTTGCTGCATGGATGCACGTCTTCTGTGGGCTGCTTGTCAAATCAAACCCGTAAGTGTCGACTTTGTGCGGGCAACAGCAGCTGCTGTTGTGACAATCTCCGAGCATGCTTGCACGTTCGTCCACAGCTGCTGTTACGACGAATCTCGAGCATGCCGCTATTGCTTGCGCGTTCGTCCTCCGTACGTTACGTTACCGGACCAGCATTAAAACCTTTACCTCTATCGCATACCTCCTTGCATCCGCCATCACCCAGCCGGGTAGGCGTACCACTGCACACGACTACTGCCCGCCTGCATGTGTAAAACCAAGAAACGCGTATTCTACTCTCCTTTGTAAAAAAACCCGTGAAAAACAGCGAGCGGAGTCTATGGAAAATACGTCAAGGTACCGACGTGCACCGGGCGCCCCCCCCCCCCCCCCCCCACCCCCCCTTCCAAAAATTACCCAACTCTACACCTTCCACTATATACTACCCCCTACAATTTTACATAACCCACCAATCACCCCTACTCCCCATCATTATTTTAAACCTCTCCTAAATCACAACACAACTTTCCTCATATTACATCATCTCCCCATTTACACCTTCAACAAATTA